CCAATTACTTACCATATTCAATTTGAGATATACATCTCCTATCATTTTTCTTTAATTTAATATGATGATATATCGGAGTAGAGACTGACTTACTATCAGTATGCTCAAACTTTTTGAGCATGTTTTTAATGTAGTGAGATTGACTCAAGATTAATTTTTTTCTTTTCTCTTTATTTTGATATCAAACATCACAGTAGCCTCTCCTAAATCTTTCATATTGAAATTAGATGTGAGGAATCTTTTAGTTTCCGCCACAATTTCTAGATTAGTGCTAAAAATAATATTATTTATATATAGATAAATTATGACACATAAAATTTAATTACTTATTATGTACACATTTATCAACCTCATTTATCTTAAAACCATTTGATATTGTCATATTTTTATGCCATGATTTAGGTGCCTGTTTAAGTCCATAAAGAGATTTAATTAATTTAAAAAATTTGTTCTCATGATCAAATATTACGAACTCTTCAAGTTGTTCCATATAGATTTCTTCATCTAATTCACTATTTAAGAAAGAGATGTATGATTAGATGGTTGACATAGATTATTGCTAAGAGCAATCTAATAATAACAATTCTTGCTACAGGTGTATATGTGTCAAAATAATTGATACCTTCTTTTAGTTTAAGTCCTTTAGCAACTAATCTTGCTTTCTATTTGTTAATAGGAGCCTCATGATTACGTTTGCTTTTAAATATCCATTTACAACCTTTGGGTTTAGATTCAGGTGGAAGGTTTATTAATTTCCAAATAATATTTGCCATTACAGAATCCATTTTCTTATTTACACCTTCTCTTCAAAAAATTGCTTCTTGAGATGCCAAGGCTTCACTTATTGATGTAAGATCTTCTTCCACATTTGATATTATGGGTATTGAATTTAATATTTTATTTTGAGTAGCCTCAATTAGATAAATGTAAAAATTTGGTTCAAAGTTGTAAGATGGATCACATCTAATTCTTTTACTTCTTCTTGGTTCAATTTTCTCATTAACATTATTTTCTACATGCTCTTCGTCAACATTATGATTATTTTTATTTTGTATGCTACTTGTTTTATTTAATTTACTTTTACAAGTGAAATTTTCAAAAAATTCAATATCTTTAGATTCCATTATTGCATTAGAATTTAGATAAAAAAATCTATATATTTTACTATTTTGTGAATATCCCACAAACACACATTTAGAGGTTGTAGGACCTAATTTATTTCTTTTATGATATGGAAGTCTAACATATACAAGGCAACACCATATTTTAAGAAAGTTTAAAGAAGGTTTTCTATTGAACTAAAGTTCATAAAGGATCTTAGTATACTCAACTCTATAAATTTAATGGCAAAAATGAAGCAGTAAGCATTGCATTTACTATTTCTACTAAAGTTCTATTTTTCTTTTCTGCTACTCTACTTTTGTCGAGGAGTATAAGGGGCAATCACTTGATGTAATGCCATTATTTTCACAGAATTCATTAAAATCATTTGATAACTACCCTCTACTCCTATCACTTCTTAAATTTTAATTTTTTTGCTAAGTTAATTTCCACTTCTGCTTTGAAAACTTTAAAATTTGCGAAAGCCATATGTTTTTGTCTAAGCAAGTAAACATAAACATATCTCGAGAAATCGTCAATAAATGTAATGAAATATCTTTTACCACCTCTAATTAGGACATTATTTAAATCACATATATCACTATGTATATGTCCTAACAATTCATTATTTCTTTCTATTGAAGGAAATTATTTTCTAGTCATTTTAGCATGTCCATATACTTCACATTTTTCTTTAGATAATTCATCATAATTAGAAATCAAACCTACGTAACTAAAGATTTAATAGAAGCATAATTAACATGTCATAATATACCATGCCACACATTACAAGAAATCATAATATAAGCAGGAAACTTATTTATTCATTTAACTAAATCAAATTTAAGCATCCCATCACAAGAGTAACCCTTCCCAACAAATACTCTAGTGGTCAAAATGAGTTTATCAGACCCAATTGCCATTTTAAAGCCGATACATCCGGAGACATGGTTTCTTCTTATATCCTGTATGTAATTCATATTTTCCAAGGTAAGAACTTTGTTCGAACTAAATTTTAGTTCCACTGGACTCTTTCCAAGCATTTTGCCATAATCTGGGTTCCAAGTTGAACCAAATTATTATCACCCACTGGTGCAAATGTCTTAAAGTGATCTCTATTATTAAACACATGAATAGATTCACTATCTATTATCTTTATTGATCATGTTTACTTCAATAATCGGTGCCACAAAATTTTCATCAAGCGGTTATGTTCACTTGATCTCTAGGCCGTTTGAGTAATTTTCAGTGTCGGCACTCTCTTGAATAGTGTCCCAATTTTCCACATACTTAAAAAGAGGTTTTTCTTGGATTTTGTTGGCAATAGATTTTTGGTCTTTAGAATAGGCATTATGGACCTTGGGAAAGAGAGGTTTCTTGATGTATTGAGCACACAACAATATTTGCCTTACTATGAAAATTTAGAGTTTTTTATTTTCTAGAAGTCTATTCTCTTCTTCAATTCGAAGAGATCTTTGAAGTTGAACCAAATCAAAGTTCACTTTTTTTTATGTTTTATTGTCTTTTAATATTCTTTCCAAGATGGGAGTAGCTTATGAATAATAGAGCCTACTAGAAAAAATTCATCCAAGGAATTCCACAATATTTAAGTTCATTGACCACAAGTTGCAACTCATACACTTGAGAAATAATTGGCTTGTTTTCAATGAATTTATAGTCCAGAAAATCAGAAATGAGAAACCTTTTGTTACCTGATTCTTCAGTAAGGTATTTCGTTTCAAGGAGCTTCCATAGCTCTCTCGCTGTGGCCATTGTTGCATACATGTCATAAATCGGATCCGTCAAAGTGTTGAGGATATACCCTTTGTAAATGTAGTCATTCTCCATCCATCTGTTGTAGGCTTGAATTTGCTCATCGGATGGTGGTGGTGATGCAGGTATAGATTCGGTAACTATGTAAGGAGTGTCGTAAGCAAGAAGGTGACCTTCTATTGTCGTCTTTTGAAATTCAACCCGTTAAAGTGCTCGAGTGTTCAACTTTCTCCCAAAAAAAATGTTTTAAGTACAAAAGCCCTACCAAATTTATTGGAATCAAAGCCAAAACTCTCTAAGATTTTTTTTTTTTTTTTTACCTTCTCTCTCCCAATGTTCTTTTGTATAATTTTTTTTATTTTATTTTGATCATACAGCATTACAACGTGTTCAAAAAACAATATCATAAGAGATTACAAGGCTACCAAAGTAAATCCCCCTTTTCGCCAAACCGCGAGCAACATCATTGGCTTCTCTATAGGCATGCTGAAAGGATGCCACCAAATCTTAAGATAAGTCCAACACTTGTGCCCAAATAGGCATAAATAAGGAGGCTTTCTGATCCTATTACGTTAGTTAATACCATTTTGGGAATCTTCTTCCACCACACAATAGCTACCTAATCCCCTCTCTTTCTTTAATTTCGGCCCTTGCATAAAATCAGTGAATTTTGCAATATTAGAAATAAAAAAACCACAAAGGGCCAACATAGAAGAATAAAAGAAATCCGTATGGGTTCCCAATAACTCCATCGATCCCCGCCAAGCCTGGATTCCAAAGAGAACTCCCAACAAAATTCATTTTGATACAACCAGGCAAAGGCAATTTCCACCTTCCTTCTCGTCTGAAGCACACAATATAATTGTTGACAATCTCCTTCAAATTCAATAGAATGTGAGATTTCCACAAACTATTTAATATCCTCTCTTTAACGCCGAAATCACTTGTCCACACTTTGACAAATCCGTCATATCCATGTGCTATCAGGTAGTGTTAATTGCATACCCATAAGCTTTAAAGCCCACTCCGAAATAGAAGAAGTAAAAGCACAATGAAAAATGATGGTCCCCATTTTCATCATCATCTTTAGGTATACAAACCTAGGAGTAGCACTCCCCACCCTTGCTCCTTGGTGCATAAGCACCTCACCTTACGGGCTCAGTGGGTCGTTTCTTGGTCTCTAGTGTCATGACATGGGCAGGTCTGGCTAACTCTTTCATGTTGGGTTGAGGCTGGAGGCCATGACCATCCCACCACCCCAGGCTGGGAAAGGCTTTTGGCTGTACCTTAGGAGCGAGGCAACACCTCCTCCCGCACGAACTTGCAGGGCATGAGACCTCCCCACATACATTCTCGAGTGGCACGACAAGCTCGAGCCTCATTGGCACAACTCCTAGAGCACAACCATTTTGTCAAATACTAAAAAGAGCTCTTCATCGTTTCCAAATATGAAAAAAAAAAAGAGCCATTTACGTACTGACTCTAAAATTTTAAGTAAAATACAAATACTCCACTTATATATGTGGAAATTACAAAAAAAAGTCGGTCAACCCTTTTTTTTTATCCAAAATTTCCCTTTGATCAACCAGAATTTTAACTTTTTAATTTTTTTTAGTTTTTTTTTTGTTCTCTCGTTAGTAGGGCTGTACCATAAAGCTTGGGCACTGCCGTACTATCGAAAAAAAAAAAAAAATTCAAAATTTGGGTTGATTGAGGGGCAATTTTAAAAATAATAATAAAAAAAATGGGTTGACCGACCTTCTTTGTAATTTCCGTACATAAGTGGAACATTTTGTAATTGATGTAAAATTTTAGGTTCCGTATGTAAATTGCTCAAGAATAAAAAATAATAATAAAATCATTACGGCTAAACATGCAGCAAATGAACATTTTGGGATGTAAACTATAAGCCATGTAGCATATAAGAAGTATGATAAATCTGTATTCTACATGTCACCTCTATAATCCATTGCGCACATTACAAGGTCGAGATGACCTGTTCTTCCACGAAAAATAAAGTGCTACAATGGAGGATCTGTGAATAAGACCGATCCTGATAAATGATGGTGTAGGTGATCCTAGCAATATATTCCGTCCTACTACATGTATCATGCTATAGTTACCGTGACTTTTTTTTAAAGAAGTGTTAACAGGTGCCTTTGGCATGGCCCTCAAAGTTCTCCGGTAGTTATGCATTCAGCAAAAGAAAACCCCGCATCATGATAACTCTCTGTCAAAACAAACCACCAAACCATACGAAACCACACATACTCTCTCCATTCGTTTAAGAGAGGCAGACAACACTCATCTCCCAAATTCTCTTGAACTTTTCCACTTTGTTGCTGCTTCTTTTCAAATCAGCCATGAATCCCAGCCATCTAGCAAGATCATTAGTCCCGAATTCAGTGCCGCAGATCACATATGCCTACTATCTGGTAGCGGCATGCCTCTTAGCGCTAGCAGTGTATGCATTGTGGGGACGAAAGCAGGTCTACCTCATCGATTTTTGCTGCTATCGGCCACCCGACATGTACCGAATTCCAATGTCCACATTCATGGAGCACACAGTGCTTAATGAGGCATGGGACTCGGCGAGCATTGAATTCCAGGAAAAAGTTTTGGAACGTTCAGGGCTCGGATACGAGACATGCATGCCCCCGACCATTAGTCACTTGCCTGCTGATCATTCTGTAACGGGTGGTTTAGAAGAACTCAAAATGGTGGCCTTTCCCATAATCGAAGAAGTACTGACTAGCAATCGTGTGAGCCCCAAATGTATAGACATTCTGGTGACTAACTGTAGTCTATATTGTCATACCCCCTCGTTCTCGGCCATGGTGGTGAACCGATTTGGGATGAGGAGCAATGTGAAAACCTTTAGTCTTGCTGGGATGGGGTGCAGTGCAGGGCTCCTCTCCATAAGCCTGGCAAGAGACCTCCTCGGGGTGCATACCAACTCCTTGGCACTTGTGGTCAGCATGGAGATCCTTAGCTCTAATGGCTACACTGGCAAGGTTTGTCAAAACACATGTCTTATATATGTCTACAGAATCAACCATAGTTATCAAGACAAGGCCAACCGGTCCGACACTCACTAACAAATATGAAAGAAGTTTTAGCACTAAATAGACTTAGCCTATGGTGCCAACTCGGGCTCCCGCAGATCCTCGGTTTGGACCACTGATTCCAACCCTCAAATACTCATAGTGATTTGTGACTTTGTCTAGTTCTTTTTTTTTTCTTTTCTGTTTTTTTCACTCATGTGGGCTCTGAGAAATTTGCCTCAGACCTTCATTTTTCCAAATAATTTTCCTTCTTGCTCTCCAGTTGACCACCTCTATGCTTTCTTCTTCCCCTACTCAAAGCCCCCCAACTCTCCTCCACCCCAATTTCTCTCTCCCTCAACAATTTTCGATTTTGAAGTATCTTTTTGGCCTTTTGGGTCTGGCAGTTGACTCGGCCGAGTTACCCAGAGTCCACTTATTGCCAAAAGTACTACGGTAAAACTCGAGGTTATATAAAAATTTATGTTCAATGGTAAAATCAATGTACCTCTTGTGTATGTTTAATCTTTTGAATAATTATAAAAGATATCTTCTTTTTTTTCCCAAAAATTTGAAACACACTCAAATTTTTTGAAATCTACACCCATACCCTTTCGAGTGATGGTTTAGATTTTTTAAAAAATACACTTACATGGTTCGTTTTAGAACCGTGTCGATCCATCGATGGCCACAACGCATCACGACACTGTTAATGACATGAAGCTTATTATGGCATTGCTAGTGCATGATACCCACTAATATCAATTGTATCACGGGATTAATAGAGTGAGTATCACGGTGCCATGATAGTTCCCAATAGATAGTACGTTCACTATTCAATAAGTATCCAATAGTGAGTGTTATGGTACTACTAGTGCAATGATAGTCACTATTCATACTTACTACATAGACCGATACTCACTGTTCATATTTACTATTTATTAGTGACATGGCACTATTAGTGGTATGTCCTCACCGTTCATGTTAGCGAGTATGACAGTACTAATAATATTGAAATAAGCATCACCACATTAATAGTATGGTAACACATCATGAAGTCGAATCAATGGGCCTTGGAACATTATGATTCTAATAAAAACATTAAGGGTATTTTTGGCAAAAAAAAAAAAACCATCACATGAATTGGCATATATGTAAATGTTAAAGAATTTGGATATGTTTCGAAGTTTTGAAAAGGGTAACATTTTTATAATCACCCTAATCTTTTTTATGTTGATTTGTGAGTGTTTCTTGTCACATATTATATTTGGAAAAATAATTTAAGTTGGTATAGTTCCAAATGAGTTAATTGTTGAATAATTCATCTTTTATAAGTATTGTTGTAAATTTTCCTTTATATTTTTCTCTTGTTTTGGATTTTTTTTGAAATCAGCTATAAATCAATTTTTGTCTAAATCATGTTTTAAATATTTTTTTATCTTATTTGGACTTTCAATGTTGTTTACAGTTTATTTCGACTTTATATTTTTATTTTGTCCTTAAAAATGTTTTTGATTATTTTTAGGAGTTTGTTGTTTTTTTCCCTTACACTACGAGACGCGTTCGAGTTACTCGGCTCGAGCAGGGCCCAAGTCAAGTTCCTAAACATTGGTACACAATCTCTATCCACTTTGTATCTTCTCCTATTTGTTTCTTGGCAAGAGATTCAATAAAACCCCGGAATCCTTGATTATTACAACAATTGGCTTGATTCTAATGCAGTTTGGAACACCAAGAATAATCTGCCATTTTTTTGCCATTCAGAGAGATAGACCTTTTAAAGGAATCACGTGAAAGTGCATTTCAGCAAATTTGGCCCATTTTTACGCAAAATTCTTCCGACAGTTTTTGTACAATAACACATCATAGTTTAGAGAGAGAAACATTTCTGCAAAAATTCATGCAAATTTCACTTGTTTCCTAACAAAATTCAAGTTTATCTTCAAAATAACTGATAAGAAGAATTTTTTTGCAAAATTCGTGCACATTTCGTCCATTTCAATGCTAAATTTCATGATTTGCTACGAAATTGAAGATCCATAGTTCCGATAAAATTACGATTGAATCACGTTCGTCCATTTCAGCCCCAAAAATGAGGTTTCATACCAGACTTGGCCAGACTCGGAAGTCCATACAGTGAATTGCTTCACTATAATGAACTCTAAATCAGACATTCTCCTGAAGCCCCAGTGAGTGTTCAATTCCTCACATCCGAAACTGCAGACCACCTGGTTCCGAGTGATTATGAAGATGATATGGATTCAGGTCGGCATTTTCCATTTAACCAAGGTTTAAAAAATGGATTGGTGACCTTGATCCCCCATTGGAAAATAGGTCGGGTTCAGCAGATGGTTGGTTTGGATCGGCGATCCGGACACATGAACGGGCCAATAAAAATTGAAAAATTTTGAGAACAAAAAAATTTAAAAAGAAAGTAAAAATAAAAGGTGGACGCAGTTCTCTAACATAATCAGTCGGTTCTTTCTCTAATATTTTGATGGGTTTGAGAACAAAAAAATTTAAAAAGAAAGTAAAAATAAAAGGTGGACGCAGTTCTCTAACATAATCAGTCGGTTCTTTCTCTAATATTTTGATGGAACCAATTGCCCCTGCTTGTGATCCAAACCGGTCGGTTCTAGTAGTTTTGTCCTTTTTCTAAGGAAAACATCTTCATAGGGCTGCTTATCAAAGTAAGTAAAACCTCACCACAAAACTAATCGAAAAAACTTTTAAATTGATCATCTTAACCTTGACCATTATAGTTGTGAAAAAATAAACATTTTAAATCTTAAAAATAGTGTATATTATAACACATTGTCTAAACCGTTTATTTTGCCATAAAAACACGTTATCCAAAAGATCTGGACTATTTTTTTAACTTCAAATTTGATAATTAGTGTGGGAAATTAATTTTGGAGTCATCATTGAGATTTTTGACGTCCAAAGTGCTTTATGAGGATTCAAGGTGAGGAGTTACTTTGTTTTCCATAAAGAAACTGCATCGTTGTTTTAAACACTAAATATAACAGTATCACGAATGCTACATGTAATGATAAGAAATGAAACCTTCGGCACTGAAGGCCCCCATTGTGAGTTGAAGGAAATAAATTTGCGTGAAGTATTCTATTTTCATACTACATTTAGCATATGCTGTATTTGAAATCACATTCACCTTCTTATTTGTATCCTACATGTAGCACGCTACGAAGCACTTTTGCTAAATATGATGCTACCATGGTGTTTTGTTCCAGGAGAAGTCCATGTTAGTGACCAACTGCCTCTTTCGAATGGGCGGCGCGGCCATTCTCCTCTCGAACCGTCGCCAGAACCGGCCCTCCGCCAAGTACAAGCTCCAACATCTGGTTCGCACCCACATGGGCGCAGATGACCGTGCCTACCATTGCGTCTTTCAGGACACAGACACAGAAGGGGCAGTTGGTGTCGCCCTCTCCCGGGGCCTCCCCCATGTTGCTGCCAATGCCCTGCGCACCAACATTGCCACCCTCGGTCCCCTCGTTCTTCCCCTCACCGAGCAAGCTCGTTATGCGCTCTCTGCGGCTCGCAAGGCCCTATGGGCCGCTAAATCCCAATTGTACATTCCAAACTTTGGCAGTGCTTTCCAACATTTTTGTATACATGCTGGAGGTCGGGCAGTGATCGATGCGATAGAGGAGAATTTGAAGCTTAGCAAAGAGCAAGTGGAGGCATCTAAGATGACATTGTTTAGGTTTGGGAACACCTCGTCCTCGTCGATATGGTATGAGTTGTGCTACTTGGAGGCAAAGGGGAAGGTGAAGAGGGGGGACAAGATATGGCAGATCGCGTTTGGGAGTGGGTTTAAGTGCAACAGCGCGGTCTGGAAATGCATTTCGGATTTGGAGGGGAGACCGGAGAATGCATGGTCGGATCGGATCGATCGCTACCCAGTCGATGTACCCCAAGTCATAGAACATTGACCCCTCTCTTTCTCTCTGTCTCCCTACGGTGTGTTTTCATTACCTTGCCTGTGCTCTGTACTTCCTTTCCCTATTCTCTCCCTCTCTCTCTGAGGTCTAAATTATGAGTGTTATGTGTATGAAGGTTGGAAGGTGGTGTTTCTATGTGGAATAAGAACCTTTACTTCCAAAGCTCGCTCACTTGGGTAAATATGTGTGTGGTTAGACTCCGGGCGTACTTTTGGAATTTTATCTAGGAATATATGTTAAAGGGTAGCCCAACAAGTAAACCATGCGGTAAGAGGATATTTCATGTCCAAATTTATCTTGGACTTATATTGTTGCTGGATTTGGTGACTAGGTCATACAGTCGAAATTATCGCGATGGATTATCTAGAGCAGTCAAATCGGGATCGAAAGAAAAGACGTTAGCAAGAAAACATTATTGGGTAGTTATCATATCGTAATATTTATTTTATTTCTAGAACCTCTTTAATTTTTAAGAAAGTTGTTTGTTTTAGCAGTCCATTTTATTTTCTTTTTTGGAAAGGCCTTATTTTTATTAGTGTCCTTGTTTTTATCTTGCTTTTTTTTTTTCCTTATCCTTATAAGAGTCTATATCCAATAAGTTGTTTTGTTTCCATGTTTTGTTTCCCCTATCTAGCAAGATTTTCTTGGTTAGCAAGATTAGTCTTTATAAAGATAAAGCAATTACGTATTTATCTTTGGTAGGAGATCTTTAGTAAACAACGGGGAAATTATATAAATACAGCAGCGAACATTGTAACGGTTTGTTTTTTATGACGGTGAATGAAAAGCAATTGACATGGCGAGAGAAACTTTTGTGGGTTTTTTCTTTGCTTGTTCTTGTGGTGTGTGGTGGAGAACGGAGATCTCTATGTTTGTAATTTTTTTTTTCTTTCAATTTTTGCTTCTCTCTAAAACACTGTTGTACTTGTCAATTGTTGACTGCCACCGCAAAACGTTCGTCCATAAGGCATCATGGTTTGTGGATATGGACAACGGCTAGGTATTGGGAATGAGCCCATCCAGTAAGAACTAGACTTCCAAGACATTGAGATAGAAACTTGAGGAGTTAACTCGGTGCTTGGTGCAAACTCTAGGCCTGACACACTATGATGACGGGTGAGTTAGAAGCTACTTTCGAAAACCTATTATTTGTGTTGGAGCCTCGTGTTGGGGAGAGCATATCTTGGTATTTCGCTTTTAAAGTCGATCTGCTGGAGTTCATAGGAGGATTTTAGGCAGAAGAATTTATTGATTGGATTGATACCATAGAGTACATGTTCGAATACAAGGATATGCCTGATAATAGGAAGGTCAAGTTCCTAGCTATTAAGCTTAAGGGTCATGCATCTGCCTGGTGGAAGTGATTAAAAAGGGCTCGAGAACAACAGGAAAAATCGAAGAAGGTTAAGGGAGCAGTTCTTGTCATTTAACTATGCCCAAATAATGTTTCAGCGACTTCATATCCTTCATCAAGTGGGGTGCTCTGTTGATTATTGTACTGAGGATTTCCATCAACTAGTTGAAGGGAACAACTTGTCCGAGACTGAAGGGCAACTAGTTGCCCCATGCTTAACGAGAATGCACCAATCAATTCAAGACGTTCTAAGCATGCACCTTCTATGGATTGTTTCAGAAGCCTATCAACATGCTTTGACGATGAAATAATAACATTCCAAGAGCAGGGTTGGCGCAGCCACGAGAGGAGATTCAGGTCTCCATGTGGGACTATTTCAAGATCGTGGTGCAAGGCCTAAAGATGCACATTCTGGGGGGTGTCGGGATGCCACTACAATACCTATTAATCGCCCAAATATTGTTGGCCTAGGTGCTAGAATTTAGGGCAGCAATTCAACTCTAGTTGTTGCAAGTGCAAGGAGGTGGATCATAAAGCCAGATATTGTATAAAGCCGAATAACTATCCTAACAAAGACATACAACTCATGATTGGGTAAGAGCACCTAGATGATGTTGATGGGTATGTCAATGATCCAATTTATGATGAGGAGCCAGATGAGGTTGATCTTGTCTATGGAGATGTTGGAGAGTCTCAGGTTATTCAAAAGAACTTATTAATGCCCAAGCATGAAACTCAGGAGGGCTAGTTGAGGACCAATATTTTTCAAACCACCTATACTATTGTAGGTAAGGTCTGCAAGTTTATTGTTGATAGTGGGAGTTGTGAGAATGTGATCTCACAAGAAACAATCACAAAGCTCAAGTTTGGCACTAAGAAGTATCCCCAACTATAGAAGCCCACTTGGTTCAAGAAGAACAATGATGTAAGAGGACATAGTAGAAGCCATAATTTTTGTTCTATTAGAAAGAAGTATTTTGATGAGGTGTATTGTGATGTAGTTGTCATGGATGCTTGTCATCTATCATTAGATAGACCACCGCAATATGGCCCTAGAGCTATACATGATTGGAGGAGAAAAACATACACTATTTGGAAACACAAGAGTAAAATCGTGTTGGCTCCCATGAAAGAGGAAAATATACCTAAGCCTAAACCAAGGGAGAACATAAATTTACTCTCAATAGCTTTATGGAGGAGTTTTTAGAGACTAGGTCAATATTTGCTTTAGTGGCTCATGAGAAGAGTTAGATCATTACTCCTGAGGAGGTTAAATCTCTAAATGAGGACTATAATGATGTTATGAAATGACCTGCCTCCGGGTTTACCACCCATGCGAGATATACAACATCACATAAAGTTTATTATGGGTTCTAGCTTGCCAAACAAGCTAGCATACCACATGAGTCCTAAAGAGCATGAGGAATTGAAAATAAAGGTTATGGAATTATTGGAAAGGGGTTTTATCCGGGTTAGTATGAATTCGTGTGTAATATCTGCTTTGTTGATACCAAAGAAAGGTAGTAGTTGGCGAATATGTGTGGACAGTAGGGTTAAAAACAAGATTATTGTGAAATACCATTTCCCTATTCCTAGGTTAGATGACATGTTGGACCAACGTTTTGGTGGCAAGGTCTTTTCCAAAATTGACCTAAAGAACAATTATCATCAGATACACCTTAGACCTGGGGATGAGTGGAAAACAACTTCTAAAGCATATGATGGGTTATTTGAGTGGTTGGTTATGCCCTTTGGATTGTTGAATGCTCCTGTGCCTTCATGAGAATGATGAACCGTGTGCTTAAATCCTATATTGGTAAGTGTATTGTCGTATACTTTGATGGCAGATTGATTTATAGCCCTTCATGTGAAACTCATATGCAGCACCTCAGGGATGTTGTTGAAGCTCTAAGGCAGGAGAAACTTTATGCTAATCTTAAGAAGTGTAGCTTCATGAAAGAAAGTACAATATTTTGTAGGTATGTTGTTTTTCTAAAGGGGTGAAAGCATATTAGTTCAAGGTAAGGGCTATACTTGAGTGGTCTACTCCACTCAGCATACATGATTTATGTAGTTTTTATAGTTTGGCTTCTTTTTTACAAGTGGTTCATCAGGAATTTCAATGCCCTCATTTTACCAGTTGCATATTGTTTGAAACTGTGTACATTTCAGTGGATTCCATAAGTAAAGCATAACTTCCAGTTCACAAAGAAGAAAATGTTAGAAGCACATGTATTGGCTTTATTTGACTCCGATAAATTTTTTGAAGCTGATTGTGATACATCAGGAATTGGTATTGGTGTTGTGTTAAGTCAGGAAGGAAAGCCAGTGGCATTCTAAACTGAAAAGCACAATGGGTCTAAGGCTAATAATTCTTCTTATGAGTTTTATGTCATTGTACTAGTACTGAGGCATTTATAACATTATTTAGTGCAGAGAAAGTTTATTCTTTACTCAGATCATGGAGTTATTAAATACATCAATAGCCAGCACAAACTCAACGGAAGGCATGGTAAATGGGTGTCTTACTTGCATGAGTTTACTTTCACCTCGAAGCATAAAGTATTTATATTCGGGCAGCTGATGCTTTGAGTAAGAGAGTTACGCTACTTACCACTATGAAGGTGAAGCTGGTGGGCGTTAATACTTTCAAGGAGTTGTACCAAGATTATCCTCAATTTGGAGCAATTTTGGCTCTTAGCAGGTAAGTGTGATGACTACTATGTGCATGATATTTTCTTTTTGGAGGCCTGAACTATGTAAGCGTGATGATTATTATGTGCATGATATTTTCTTTTTGGATGCCTGAAACTAGATATACCAGATTGCTGACTACAAAAAAGATCATCTAGGAGTTGCATAATGATGGTCACTTTGGTCCTGACAAAGCCATGGCCTTGGTGTATAATGATTATTTTTTGCCCAAGATGTTACATGACATTGGTAGATTTGTAGACAGATGTTATATTTGTCAAGTCTGCAAATGAACAGCACAGAATATTGCACCCTATACTCCATTACCAATACCAACTTCACCATGAAGGATGTCAATATAGATTTTCTGTTGGGTTTACCAAGGACGCAAAGAGGTATGGATTCAGTATTTGTGGTGGTAGACAAACTCTCCAATATTGCACATTTTATCTCTTGTAGGAAAACTATGGATGCTTCTAACATTGCCAAAATCTATTTCAAGGAGATTGTCCAATTGCGTAGCATTCCAAAGTCAATCACTTCTAACATATATGCAAAATTCATGGGTCATTTATAGAGATTTCCATGGAAATTGATTGGAACGGAGCTATATTTTAACAATGTTTATCATCCACAGCCTGATGGTCAGACATTGGTAGTGCATAAGAGCTTAGAAAAATTAATGCCCACAAGTTGAACTTGCTTTCAAAACAAGTCCTAGAATCGAACTCCTCAAAAAAGCCCGTTTGAAGTTGTCTATGGATATAATCCATACATTGTGCTAGATTTGACTCCTATATCTCATGCAACAAAATTTAATGGCAAGGTAGAAGACATAGCTGACTAAATCAAAGGCATTCATGAGCAAGTTAAAAAGCTTGTACGCAAGGCCGCTGCAGATAAGCATCATCGCAAGTAAGTATTTGAAGTCAGAGATTATGTGTCAGCTATTTTGACCAAAGATAGGTATCAAGCTCAACAATCAAAAGATTGAGCCATGCAAAATTTTAGGTAGTAGTTAAAGCTCCTAAACTATATGAAGCTTCTGACATTTTCAATGTCAGTTGCAGGAGATATCTCTAGTAATAAAGAGCTTAAGTTGAGAACGAGTTCTCTCCAATCATAAGAGGATGATGCAGTAGAAATTATCGCGTAGGACTATCTATAGCGGTCAGATCAGGATTGGAAGAAAAGGCACTAACAAGGAAGCATTATTGGGGAATTATCGTATCGTAATTTTTATTTTATTTTTTTATTTGTAAGAACTCTTTAATTTAGAAAATCTTTTTTTTGTAGTAATCCGTTTTATTTTTGGGGGGACAGGCTTTATCCTTATTAGAGTCCTTTTTTTTTTCTTACCCATATAAGAGTAAGATGTTTTGTTTCCCTTACCCAGCAAAATTTCATTGGTTAGCAAGATAAAGATCTTTAGTAACTAAGGGGGAAGTTGTATAAAACACAGCAATGAACATTGTAATGGTTTCTTTTTTTATGATGGAGAATGAAAAGCCGTTGACGTGTAGAGAGAGAGAGAGTGTCTTTTGTGAATTTTTTCCCCCTTACTTGTGTTTTTGTTGCACGTGGCGGAGGATTAGAATCATCACGATGTTTGTACTTTCTTACGATTTTCTTGTCAGTTTTTGTTTCTCTAAAACGCTATTATATACGGTTGTTGTTGACTACTAGCAAATTTTCGTTTGCATCACTAGGAAAATACAAATTCTTCGGAATGTAAAAAATAAGAATGTTAAGATCAGGCTGTAGTAATGGGTAACGCTTGGGATACTCAATATAATTATTTACTATAGGCACGACAGGCAGACGAATGGGGGGGAGGGGGTTATAGTTCGACTTAGGCACTGTATGTAGCTCTTACAGATGAATTACTACAACCATTGTCATCAGTATTAGAGAATTGATGAAGAATTTGGTCCAATCAAACCTAATCCAACTTGGTGTTTTATTTGGAAGCTCCTTATTATTGATGCATTAAGAAAAAGGGAAAAAATATTATAGATATCAGCGTACCGTGCAAAAAGAAAGAAGAAATAGGTAATCATCTTCAGTCATCGACTGCCATGCTGCGTTGAGGGGTAAAGGCATAATGAGATGATCTTCCAATCTTTTGAGTGTGCCACGTTCGAAATTTCTCATTTCAATATTGTATGATACAAGTGGAGTAAGGTGGGCATTGATAGGATAATTCACGCTGGATATTGTTTGCAAGTAGTTGTGAATGGAAGAATGTACAGGAATATCTTTGATTTTTTACGTAATGTAACGACTGGTGAGGTAAATGTCTTACTGTCCCTAGATTGATGTAATTTTGAGAAGGTGATAAGAAACTCGTTATTCTTGTTAAGAGAGAGAGAGTCTGATTCAAATACTGTTTTCTGAGTCAAAAGCTCCCGTTATTTCACACTAATTCCAAACTAGATTTCCTCTCTCTCTCTAACTGATCCAAATGGCAGTGAACTAGAGCGACCAATTCTTCGGTTAAATCTCTTCCTCCCTCTAAAGGTGGCAGAGAAGTAGATCTCTGCCTCCCTCACCGAGTGCGCACCTCCTCATTTATATTTTGCTGGTATTCACTGAAGGACATGGTTTCTATGAGTTCACGTAAAAATGAGTTACCTCTTAAAAACTTATTTTTGAGATGGATTTTTGGATTTAATTTTAAGGACATGCAATCTCTAACATGGAGATCATGAATATGAATAAATAAATAAATTTTATATTAAAAATAATTCTATTAAAAAAACATTTGGACTGTTAATTTCAATTGACCAGCCATTTGTATCCATCTTTAAAATAGCTGTTTTGTTTTATACCTCGAGAACCGCAATGTAGAAATGCAGTCCCCGCCATATGAAACAATCTTCCTCCACAGAACTTCAAAAACACAGAAAACCTCTGCAAATAAACCATAATGCCGTTACAACAAAACTTGAGGGGCTGCAACTCCCGTTATGCTCTACTTCCTTTCTTCTTCTTACCCACGCTTGTGGCTCGTTTATTATTCTTTGACCTCGATTTTGGAGCTTTCTGCTTTGAATTGAGCGTGGCCACATCCTCATCTGCCCTAACCTCCTCCAACTTTATTGGGTTAATAATTACACCAGGCCTTTTAACCACCTGGAAAAAAAAAGATGACAATCCTCCAATCAAAAGAGAGTAAGGTGTAGGTTCTTAGGATGCAAGAATTCAAAACTCACACAAAAACACATACACACGCATGCACATTTTTCAAGCATGGTCAGTACCATTTTTGTATAGAGCCCTTAAAACGATGACAAGAGCATAAGGTTTTAAATAGGAACTAGCCAAGAAAAACTAAATCATCACATGTTATCCCAACAATCAAGGAAATAACTACAAAAATAATGTTACCAATCATTATTCTCGCTCTCTCTGACATGTGCACGCGAACACACAACCCTTTCACTTCCAAACATTATTTTTGAGTCCTAGACCCATGGAATGGCTCCTCCACCCCACAAATCCGTGTTCTCTGTGGGAGTAGATGTCCATCCAATAGATCTGCCTCGGATCGCCGGATTGCCAATCCAAATCGGTCCAAATTGGCAATTTGGAAAAATATTAAAAAAAATATATACAAGAAATAAAATAAAGGTTTACCCGCAGCGGGGGGGGAAGGGGGCGGGATTTAGGGGGATATATATATAAACTGGCTCCATCACAGCCAATACAAGTTCGCATCCGTGACTCCCAATCTGGATTACGAGTTTTTTGAAATACTAGTCATAACTAAAAAAACTGAAACGTTGAAGCATTTCTGGGATTTAAAAAGTACCTGAATGCTTATCAAAGGGTGGTTTCAGAAAATTCTTCCAAAAGCATAAATAAAATGCTCAACCCAATCTCCTAAATCCCAAAAATTACGTTGGCCATAACAGGTACCATAGAAAAGCACGAGGCAATTCAGTTGTTTCCATCAGAATTTACAGGTTTATTTATCTTTTGCTTCTAGAGAAATTCATTATAATTTTTACACAAAAAAGAGTACCACTCACCGATGGCCGGACAAGGGCTCTGAAAGAAGATGTGGGGTTATAGTCAGGTCCGAGAGGCACGCGGATGCTCTGTTCAAAAACCTCCTTGGACTTGTAAGGAAAGGGAAGTTCCTCTGCATGAAATTTTGCAGCCTGACAAATAAAGAAAAGCATGCCCATTATTACCGCATGCCCAAGAAAGGACATACATATGTTCAAAGAAATGCACCGCTACAGTATACATTTAGATTGATATCATGCAATGAAAATCTCATTCCCTGGGGGCTGAGTCAGTTGTATTTTTCAAAACAAGAATGGACCATAGGATTCCATCCGTTTGGACCAGAATTGGTCTATGAAATAGTATGGTTGAACCCATAAATAAAAACACGAGTCACGAGATAACAACTGGGTTGATAAGACTAACACTCACAACTGACGAGAACAAATTTTTCCCCTTTTTTTGTTTAAATCTTTTTGCCCAGACAATTGGGCTGGCCCTCTTAAAGCCCAAAATTCATCCTTCCACTGGACAAAAAGAATGCGCAACATTAGGTAGAAGTCTTATTGATCGCAAAAATAAAACAAGCAGGAAAAAAGGAATGAGAGAGTCAGAGAGGCAAGAAGGAAAACAAAAAGGAATACAATTGAGGAATAAAAGGAAAGGATGATAATATAGGCCATCTGGCATTCATAAAAACACGCAACAAAAGGAACTCAAAAAAGTATGGAAGCTCCATCAGAGACTTAAAATCCAGAATCAATTCAAAGGCCATACAACAGCTAAATGCCCTACAAGTGCAATCTTAATAACAAGATTTCAAGTGCAGCCAATGAGATAAGAAATATTAGTCTTCAGTGCGTTAGCAAGAGCAGTGTTCATTTCTATCAGGAATACTTCTTAGGAAAAACTACGAGATAAATGCTGTATAACCCGATAAGAATTGGATATTTTCCAACAAGTTAGAAAATTTCAGAACATAGATATGCGAAGTGGTTTAGAACACTGACCTTTTTGTCAACCCTTTCAGAAATAATCACGTGTTTAAGATTTGCATCTTTCCTCTTTTTAAGTGCATCTTCCCTCTTCTTTTTAGCACTTTCATGCTCTTCCACCATCCATGAAGGTAAGCCTTTCTTACGCTGAACATCTGTCCACTGGCCCCAACCAGGAAGCATAACAAGCTTTTCAGGTTCAGGGATCTCTTCATTCAACAATGCCAATTTCTCCTTCTCAAATTCTTCTTCTACGTCATCACCAGCAAAAGCACGGTGAATTAGGTCTGATTGCGTGGGAAGATTGTCATCTGAGTCTACTCCATCAGAATGACTCTCCCCTTCTGATTCCTCATCGCCACCCGTGTCATCATCGGTTTCCTTTAACACACCAACAAAATTAGACGTTAATTACACTAAATTTGAAGATATGATGATGGGCAAGGATATTATATTCCAATCGATACTGATGAGCAACAAAGGACAGATTTTTGAGAACTCATAGTCCATTGGGAACATCACTGTCCAATGGAATGATTGATAGGGAGTGAAATCCATCATTAAGGTCATACCCTGTAATTGTGGCAACCCCACAATCCATCACCATCCATTGGATTGTCATGAAATCAATGGACTATGGTCCTTTGAATTGTGCAAAAGTCAATGGACTACATTTTCCATAGCCCAGTGATTGTAGAATACTTTCCCTATAGAATATAAGGGCCATGAGAAAGTGGACCAAATAAATCAGCTTAGACCTTGGGATCCTGAACAGGCATTGTGTCCAGTGCTGTCTTGGACTTAGTTGTATCGACATCAATTTTCTTCTGATATTTCCTCTGTTCAAAAAAAAAAAATGGAAGATCAAAAGCCATAGAAAGTAGCATGAAACAATTGGATCTTAGAAAGGGAAGAAAAGACGAGAGAGAATGACCTTTTGAAAAGAACCTGAGGTAAATATTGCAACGTCATATGTTGTTTTTGGTCCCAGTTCCTTTTCTATATCATCAAAACTCTGAGCGCCAAACGTGAAGCACATTAAGTACAGGCATAAATCTTAATGGAAATGCGAGATCTCCAAAATAAAAATCAAAATACATCTCACACACCTTATAGACAGGATCATGAGCTCTCTCCGATTCTTCACGGAGTACTTCAAGATCAACCACAGCTTCTCTCTGTACAGGACCAGGATCGGAGTCAACCTTTTCCTTGACTTCAAAGTCATCTTCACTATCACTTACTCCATCAATATCATTTGATTTAGTCCTAACAGTGGGCTCTTGAGATTGCCTTTTTGGTTCTCCAAAGACTCTTCTACCACTTACAACACCTCCTTTTACATTTGGATCATCATCCTCACGCTTCAAAGAGGAATCATACTCCTCAAGAGCAAGACGAGCTTCTTCATATGCCTCCATCTTTCGCTTTTTTATTCCACGAACCTAAACATAAATTGTTCTCAGCGCAAAAATATGGAAAGAGTAAAGATTTTCATTTTCCTTACATTGGTTAGACATCAGACAAAATTTTAAGGATGATAATACGTTTTAATGATAACTCAAATGCAACAAAAGAGAAAGAAATACAATTCAGCAAATCAATACATTTATAGATACTGCAAACAGCAGCTAGCAGTTTTGGCTTTTATTATCATCTTAAGTTTCAAAGATCCACAAAAGTAGTTTGTGTCCACATGTGACATGGAGAGAGGTCCTAAAAATCTGCATATGTTCACAGAGTGGAGCTCACACAACTTGTATCTACATATGATGCAGAAATAAGAAAAAAAGGCATTCATAAGTAGTGAATAGCATATTTATGTTAGCAAAATTGCATCAAATTTAGCATTCAATTTTAGTTAGAATAGCACACCATTCTAAAAATTGTCATATGATACATCAAGGCTGCTCATTAGCATGCAGAAACAGCCAATTAGCCCCCACTATCGAAGCCTACAACTGTATCATCAGATAGGGTACGTTACTACTGATAAGACCGTACAAGTTCATGGTAAGCAACTAACTATCAATTGATGTGCACATTGACCGATAGTTACTGTCATTGCAAATTGGGGAATGGTATGGAAGCTAAAAATCCCTTACGGAAGGTTAAAAAGCCCTTACTGCGCAGAGAAAACAACAGAAATATGTGTCATGGTAATATATATATACAAGTAAAAAAAGACTTGCAAGAAACGGCCTGTATTTTGTTCACCGAAACGGGTCATCTTATGGGGAAGAATTAGTTACTTTGACAGAAGAACTCCAGCAAACCCAAAAAACTTCTAAAAGAGCAACTGAAACATTTCCAGTTTAGCCAACTGACAATGGCAAAATTTCAGCTTAATAAAATGATCTAAGGCAAGCAAGTTCCACAACTGTGGCCTTGACCACTTGCATTATTGCATGACAAAGTTTTATTGCTACTGCCATAAAATGGTCCATTGGAATCAGGTCTAAAGACTGATATGAGAATATGGGGCTGAGTTAGATGGTGAGTTATGTGAGTTCATTTTTCTTCTTGTAGGAAAATTCTATGATTATTGACTAATAAGGGATTGTTGCCATGAAACTTGATTTAAATTTCTCATAATCTAAATAAGAAGATAGTGAGATACTTTAAAATGGCAGCCGGTGTTGGGGTGCTTTCAGTGTCAAGAAGAAACTGGTGAGAGAATTTGTGTCTACAAAACTTGCATGAGACAAACTTTGAAAGACTCTAAAATCGTGAAGTGCTCCTATTACTTGGTCATAGGGGCTACATGTGACCAAATGTGTGCCAACTTGGTATACCACTACTCATGACACAAATTAAGGAACTGAACCAGCTTATTAGCAAGATACCACCAATCAGCCGTTTTGACCTTTTGGATAAAGTGGAAAAAAAGAAAAAGAAAGGAAATCCTCTTTTATCACTATCACAACAAACTTTGCTATTCTTCCCCTGGATTGTGACCATTGAACGGTGCCTATTTTGAGGGAACTAAAGATACAGATATGGCTATCAACACATCCAATGGGCCCTACCCTCCACAACTGAATATGGATTCCAGAGAACACCGCCCTACCCCTCATCAAATGCACCCTATAATGAACAATGAAACACAAGAAGCAACAATCAGAAGATTCTCTCAACCTTTTTTTTTTTTTTGGATGAAGTTAACTGTTACCTCAGGACCATTAAACACAAGATTCTTTCAATTTTTTCTTAATTGTTACTTGAAAGCAGAAGGCACTTTCAAGTAAAACCTCTTTTCCGACACCTCACATGTCAGCAACTCATCTTTAACCATGAACCGCACAACACTCCCCTACAAAGCAAAGCATGAGTTCAAACTTCCCAAAGTCCGGCACCAATCAACTGTGCACTCTCTTCTAAAATATTCATCAACAGAGCAAGTCCTTTCCCATACGACTCACTAAAACAGATGGAGGCTACAACATAAGCTTAGCTTTCGCCTCAGCAGTTCTAGATGAGCATTAATCACCTCTGAGTCTGTTCTTTTTCATTTCTTTATAATAAGAGAAAATCACAAAAAAATTCACGTACCACATAGCAATTTAATCCTTTATTCTACATTGTTCAAAGCAACTCAAAGTGTGTCATGTTTTAACTAGAACTTATGAGCTTAATTCTTCTCAAAAGTGGTACATACTGTTTGATTGTTTTAGTAGACAGGATTTCTAAACAGAATCTGTGAAAGCAATCAAATTTTATGCACATAAAGAGTAACCATAAAAGGATAAAAATTAGTTGATCAAAATGATAAAACTTAATTGAAAAAAATTAGCTGAAAAATCTGATGCGTAAAAAGGAAAAGACTGAGATGCAAGAAGTTTACCATAAATGGCAAGGACATCACTCCTGATTTTGGGATATCATTCTCATCTAAAAGCTTCGTTGTCTCCTCTTTAGCATTTTCAATAAGCTTGGACACCCCTTCATCATCATCTCCACTACTTTCATCACTGCTAGAACTATCCTTCATGGAATTCATCTTTCTAGTAAGGAGCTCATGTTGATGGAGTTGTTCTGCGATAGCTGCACGAGTCCCTTCATCTTGAGCTTTCAATCCACGTTTCAGGATTCGTTTGGCCCATTTGGAACTGTTTTTATGCTTCAGAGTCATCCGTTCCTTCATTGCCAATAGAATAACTGAATTTAAGTTTAACTAATTTATTTGAATACATTATATTCAGTGACCTAAAAATCATTGAACAGCTCTACAGACAGCTCAACAATCACGAAATTGGCCCTACAGATATGCCACGTATGTACGTTACCCAGAAAGAGGAAAGTGAGCATTTTTAATTAAATTTGAGTATTTGAGTATTTCATTACTGAATTCAAGTGCTTAACTTTTAAGTATGGGTGTGGTTTCCATAAGGTTGCAACCTTAAACAATCCATTTAAGGCACACCTTCAAATTTTATCATAACATATAATTTTGATGTAAAATATTCTTAAGATTATCTCAAAATCTATTTTCAAATCTAATTATGAATTTTAAACTCCAAAAATGATTAAAATCAAGTAGATCTGTAAACATATGAAACTCCTCAAAATGGATGGTCTAGATAATGTGTTGTAAGATGCATCATTTCTAGGACTCAAAATCTTTTTTTTTCATGGTCATACATCTCGATGTTGAGATGATCAATTAGAGGGTTTTCAACATTAAAACAACCTTTACTGATGGATTTTTGAGGTGCATCCGTAGTTCTACATTTTAAGGTTGCAATCTTATATAAACTTTTCCCTTTAAGTATTTGATGAGTAACTAAGTTGAACACTCGTATTGATTAATCAAATACATGCACATGCACATGTGAGCACACACACAGTTTGTATGTGTGTGTCAAGAGAGAGGTAGTAGGCGATAAACTATTCCATTTACCTCAGCACGCTTGAATTCCTGCTTCATCATGTATTCTTTTGCTGCTTCTGGGTCCATTTCCATTTCCGCTGATGCAGATTTCAATCTGTCCCTCTTCAGCATGCGATGATACGTCTTAGACTTAATCTTCTTTAAGTGCTTAGCTTTTAACTCATGACGGAAGAGCAAGCTACGCATTTTAGCCAGACGATTCTGGCGCTCCCTTACATCTTCAACTGAAACCTGAAAAAATTGGAATGCAAATAAATATGCAATTTGAGAATAGAAAGAAAGTTTTCACACTTTTACAGAAAACTCTATTCAAACAATATAAACAAATTGAGTAAGATGGACATTGTCACGTAAAATGAGAGTAGTACTAGGAACAATTCAGGAAAAAGTACATCAGTGCATCCCAAGTTCTGAACTAGCTGAAGTAAACCAAAAAAAAAGTCTGAGGTAATGTTAAATGGGTTCCATGAACAAATCATAAGAGCAAAAGACAAGGATATATAGACAATTATAAACAAGTTAGATAGTAGCCAAAACATAATAGGCTAAAAGGGAAAATGCATGCATGCTACAAAAGCAAGTAAATTTTACAAAATCAAGAAGCTCCAAATAGGTAAAATTTACAACTGAGAAGCCAGGTCCAGCAAAAATTACGTGATGGTAAGCTTGCCATATTACAACAGAAAACCATCTGACAAAAGAATATGCTCTCAGTCAACTGCAAGAACTCAGCGATCTACAGATTCAGTGAGGAGAAATCTTTTCAAACACCAGTTCCATATACTGCCTTTTCCAGGATAAAGGAGATGCATATCTGACATGTCTGTCACAATCTCTTCTGAAGGACAACAGAAGTTAAAAAGTATAATTATAACAACGGTGAAGTAGCATCAATCATGCATGAAACGAGAGATGAATGTCATTTTTGATGTGATGTTTCTATGAGGGAACCTATCCAATGAACAAAGTAATGCATTGTGCAAGGTAGCTATATCTTGCTCTCAACTGAAACCATCAGTGAACAATACAGTAAGCAATATCTATTGAGTGGAATCATACTTTATCTGGGAAATTAAGGTCCCTACCTCCTAACCCATGTGCTTTCTTTTTGCAAGGTAAATAAGCATGGAGCTACAGGCTAAAGTTTGCAACAACAAGCGCCTCCCAATTGAGCAATAGGCATGAATCCCGATCCCTTGTGCTTCCACCAATCCAGGCATACTTCTATGAGTCCTCAATTTCGTTTTATGACCAAATATCATTGGCATTTTCCTGTGCAGGCAGTTATGTCGGTAAAATTTCCTAATGTGAATATACATTGGTTTATTTATCTCCAGTTTGAATCCATCTTGCATTTTGATAGGTGTGTAGATATTCCAACAAAATGCCGTGTTCTGCAAGTGGGATGAAAACTGATGTTTTCATTTTTTTCATCTAATTCACAAGATCAAGGCACATTTTGAGTGTGTCATTACCTACTTGGAGTTCTAAAGTGGCACCCATGGGTAACACATGACCATAAATGGTCACTCACCCAAAATGTTGACCCAATAGCGCCAAACCATGATTTGGGTGCAAACAAATCCTTACGGAGATGGATTAATAGGCTTTCTTTTTAGAAGTTGGATTTCCTTGGCACAGATTCATCATTATGCATCAATTCAATACTCAAACATAGGTAAACAAGTCCCTCACAAAATAATGTTTCAATTCAGCGTCTAAGCCACTGCAACTTCTATAAAACAGGGCCTAATATTTACAATAAATACAAGGCTCTGCATTAATAACTAACAAATGCAAGCAAAATAAAATGGAAAGTAGGAATGTCACCACATAAATAACAAGCAAACCACTCAAACTACAACTTCTTTAATAAAGGGAAACAAGAAAGAGAAAAACAAGACACAAACTAGAGTCAATTGGACTAAAACATGATATGAAATTATGCATTACATACCGCGTTAAACTCAAGAAGCTTGGAACCATCTTCGCGATGTGCTTCCATAACCTTAGAATCAGTCAATAATGTAGCCATTTTTTTCTCAAAATCTGTTCTAGGCTCAAATTTGGCAGCTACGGCTCCTACTGTCGAGAATCCCACATCAGTGTTGTCATCAAAATAGATTGTGGGGGCCACTCTATTCTTCTTAACAATTGGTTCCCATTTTGTAATGTCATCTTTAGATTGCTTGTAAGCTACTTTCCTTTCCAACCTCTCTTTCAAAACTCTAGGAAGGGGAGGCTGGATAGGTGTCGCATTCTTCTCCAATTGTTGCATCCTTTTCCTGAGATTAGAGTAACCAGCTTTGTCCTGAAGTGGGTCCAAAAGATCCTGAATTGTGATTGGGGTGTTTCCATCTGAAGGTTTCTGGTCCAAATTATACTCAGATTCTGGGAGTGTCTCAGACACAACCTTCTTACTCCTTTTCATGCCTTAACACAAACACGTCAGAAGTCAGAAAGCCCGTAAAGGAGTAAACTAGAATCTTGTTTTACATAAATTCATAACCTCCTATCAAAAACATGGGTTACAATAAATGATAAAATTGTCAGCTAAATAACATATTATTCAAGGAAAAAAGAGAAATAGGAAAAAAGAGAAATAGGTGATTGTTCAATATCCTTATCATCTGAATCACACTGACACAAAATAAATCTACTGCTCATCAACAAAAATAAATGGAGAAAATACACTTCCAATGTGAAACTTTTCATCAAAATCCCACGGTTAATTTCATTCGACCATATCATTCAAATTGATCTTAAAGACCGAATTTTAAAATTTCATCAAAACTAAACTCCCATTTAGTTTGATTCTCTTTCATGGTGACAAAGGAAACACGCAGAGGCTACCTTGGCGAATATTTCCGGGCATTCCAGTAATTGCTTCTATCATCTTTTTGTGTCTCTCGTCGTCTTCTTCCCCCAATTCTTCATCTGCTTCATCATTCTCATATTCTGAAGTATCCAAAAAATCCTCGCTTTCGTCATCTGAGTCATCATTTCCCTCATGGTCTTGTCCCACTCCAGGAAATTCATCATCACCAGATGCCAAATCCTCATCAATCTCCTCATCCTGTGAAACCAATAAGAAACCCAAATTATCACTCAAAAACCACATAGTTGACAAAACAGGGGGAATTTTCATGGAGATGCAAGAAAGTAAACCATTTTGCCTAGTTCTTTTTATTTCTTTCATGATTGGTGAAAACAAATACAATAAGTCATCCAAAAACCAGAATAATTTCAGTGGTAAGTGGAACTCAGAGAAAACGAAACCAAGTCGCTTAATCTGGAATTTTGAGAAACCCACACGAAAAGATTCGGGCAGCTCGTACTCAAGGTTATCAACATGATCAAATCTACGGTTCTTCTTCGATTCCTCTTGGGGCAATGGCTCGTCATACTCATAAACCGCATCTCCTGGGTGCAACTCTTCCTCTGAATTAGATTCATGGCCATCTTCTCGGTTGAATCTCTCAATTCCCAGTTCTCTTCTTAGGCTTGAAGGTAAATGAGGCATTTTTTTATCTTTTCTCCCGCCACCCTTCTGATTCTTTCTTTTCCTGTTATTCATGGTCTTTGTCGGGTTTTTCTGCAATTCTGAGACAAAACGAAACCCCGATTTCCTAGAAAATGCAGAAAATCTAGGGTTTTCGGTGGAGGAAACCTCTATCAGAGAAGTGGTCTGTCAGCGAAAACCCTAAACCTCACGCTCTCGGGCTCGAGGGACCACGAAACTCACCGTCTGATGAATGAAATTATACGGCGGCACCAGCAATATGCACAGGCTCTCTGGTGGTCTCATCCGAAGGATAGATAACTTGGTTCCATTTAAAACAGGGTGTGGTTTGTATAAGGCCCGCTCTCTAAACAATCAAAGTGAAGGGCACCTTCAAATAGTGTGAGAGAAGTAGTCTCAATACTAAAAATCGGTGTGATGGCTTCTAAATTATTTTTATCGATAATTATCAAATTTAAAATTTAAAAAATAGTGTAGATTAAGCATATCTACGAGCACTTGAAAATCTTGAAAATTGACAATCCAAAAATACATTACAAGATTCACTATTTCAAAAACTTGAAATTTATTTATTTTTTTCATGTCCATGAATCTTGAGGTCGAGATGATCAATTTGAGGATTTTTAGACATTAAAACAACCTCTTCTGGTGGAAATTTTGATGTATGCCTTAATTTGATTGTTTAGAACCTTGCACTTATACAAACGTTTTCCTTTAAAACGTAATATTAAAAACAAATAATAATAATAATAATAAAAAAATCAAACTTTTTTTTGAGATATATTAAAAACTTTGAGTTTTTCAAAAGATTTTCAAAAAATCATTTATCTTAATAGAACTAAGATGAATATGTATTTTTTAAACAAGATCATCAAAAAAACTTCTTCCCTATAATTTTATTGGAACTTCTATTTTCTTCATTGATTTAATATCTTTGACTTTTCATTTAAAGATAAACGTATTAAAGTGATACCAAATTGAAAATCTCGATTTTACAAAAGATTCTATAAAAAATATTTTCTTCAAAGGGTGTATTAACAAAAAAACACAAGCACTATACTCCCAAAATAATAATCTATCAATGGTATACCTAAAAATAATGGTAAAGTTAGAAGAACAGTAATTCATCCAAAATAAATAAAAAAAAGTTAGAAGAAGGATAACCCAATAAAAAATCTTCTGTTCTCTAAACCTAGAGCATTATAAAAAGTCACACGCGTCAATGAAACACATACTTAAGCATTTTATTGTCTTCTTTTTGTAAACATAAGTTTAGCTTTTCAAAAAATGTGTCATTTTATTGGAGTATATATCACAACATTTTGGATGGACCACTTATTTTCATATTTTAATTTTTATATTTAGCCAACTACAATCCTATATTGATAATATTTCTATCGAGGATCTTTCTTTCTTCTTCTCCATTTTAACAATAATCATGTACCGTTCGTTACAATTATTATTTGCTAATGTAATTCTTGTGTTTATTGTTGTTACTTCATTGTGCGCTCTTAATAAATCTATCCTGTGTTGTATCGTAACAACATAGTAAGCATTGTTGTTGTATATATTGAGAATTTAGACCAAAATTAATCATATATTACCCTAATGATACTTAGAAAAGAAATGAATTTATTGTTTAATAGCTTTAATATATCCATACCATATCTGCAAATCATAATATCATCTTGTGCTATTTTTATATATATGATTTTTGCAGTCTGTCCTTTTTAGTCAAATCTTAAATATTCCTAAATTCTTTAACTTACCTAGATTTTGGAGATCCATAGTTTTTACCCAAGTTTTTGGGTCTGACTTTTTGGAACAAAATATATTTATTATATATGTTTTGGTTTGTCGATATATTGTTATTCCCTAACTTGTTACCTATGGTAGGGATAATGTGATATTGATATAAATATTTGGAGAAATAATGATTATGCCTCTTTATACTATGTTATTGAATATTATATATGGGTGCAGTTTGCATACGGATGCATCCGTAGGGGCAAAGGTAAGGTGCACCTTCAAATTTTATCATGGTATATAATTTTGATGTAAAATGTTTTTAGGTATTTTATCAAAATCTATTTTTATATTGAATTAAAAAAT